CAGAATAAAGAGAAATGGGTTTACTATCTTAGTCCTATCGTCATCCGTAGCAGTTGATGTCTTCAATACGGAACCATCGAAATTTGCATGGGTTGGCTTGGTCTTGCATTGTCTTATTATCCCATAGCTAAACAATTTCTTGTCATGCCGCTTATTTATCAGATCCCAGACCCCCTGTGACTTCTGATCAGTCAGGCTCAAGGGTTTTTGAAATCCATCAAAAGTGAAAGCCTATATCCTTCCTTAGTCTAGACTTGAGATCTATGAACTTAAATAGCTTACGACTCTCAGTCTCGAAATTTTCCTCAAATTTCTGAATAGAGGCGTGATAAAATATTTTATTAACTGTGCCCCAATAGCAGTTCCTAATTAGATTGCAAAATCGGAGAACAATACCATAATGCTTGCAACGATTCAAAAAGGCCAAATGGCAGGATTGACTTACAATTGTCTTCTTTGTCCGGCTGTAATTGGTGCATTGTTTGGCAATCTTACTTCCATAGTTTAATCGAATATATGAAGACCATGGTGATGTGGCCTTTTGTGTGGTCGCAGTCTCCTTTCGTTTTATAGAGGTTGTTTGACCTTGTTTTCGCCGTGTACGTGGTACATTCCCAGACATTTTGCCAAAATTGTTTGTGAGTCATACTGTTTTTACCATAAAACTACAACTCGCTAAAAAGACAAGTGAAGTCGATTCTCTGACCAATTTTATGCTAAAAAATCGTGGTATCTCTCCTTCCACCATGGGCTAATCACCAATCCTATATCCTCGTATCACGTTTTCAATTACACAATTTTTTCTTGCTTATTTAAATGTGGTATGGTGTGCCTTTTTGAGCGGCATCTATAAGAACTCTCCACACTCCACGCTGGCTTTCTTAACAAAGTTCCCCTTTTCTCCCGTATCATCCGTCATCTATCTCCCTGGTTCAAGTATTTCACTCTGCCTCTGTCACCCCATCGGTGCTACTTGAGGCGATACTTCCCACACTATGCCTCTGGGAGACTAACTTGAGGCTTAAGCCCCTGAGCAATTCTCATGGTCAAGCCATTGCTTAATAGACCATGTCTATGGTAAAACAGGCCTACTGCTAGCCAACTAGCTCTAATCTCGACTGCCCCTGTCCTGTTTCTATTCGTAATATCAAGTCTATAACTTCCGTTGCCATAGTCTTTTGTGTACCAATTCACAAATGTTGGGGTTCAACATTGAACCTAATCAAAGCAAGCAGTAGCACAACATTTGTGGTTTGGCACACCAGAGACTAGGGCGTAGCAAGTCATAGACTTGGTAGTACGGATAGAAACTAGATAGACGCGGCGGAGACTGGAGCAAGTTGGTTGACTGTAGGCCGTTTTACCATACACGTGGTTCATTAAGCAATGGCTTGACCATTAGAATTACTAATAGGCTTTAACCACAAGTCAGTCTCCCAGAGGTAGAGTGTGGGAAATAACGCCTCAAGTAGCACAGATGGGGTGGCAGGGGTCGAGTGAAATACTTGAACCAGGGAGACAGCAGACATAACCTACTGGACAAGAGAGAGACTCTGATAAGACCTAAGGAAGGACTGCGTTAAAATATGACAATGATCGAATTCCCAGCACAAGGATAAATTGAGATGAGAAAGCCAGCGTGAACTGTGGAGAGTTATCAGGAAAGCCGCTCAAAAGGGAACATCATACCACTTTTAGATGAGTAAAAAAATTTTGATAGCGAAGGCGAAATACGAGGATATAGGATTAATGATTAGCCCAGGGCGGAAGGAGAGATACCACCATTGTTTAACAGACAATTGGTCAAAGGATCGGCTTCACTTGTTTCTTTGACGAAGTGTAGTATGGTGCTAATAATGGCAAGAATCTCTGACGATGCCTGCGAAACGTCTGGGAATATACCACGTCCATGGTCCGACTCTGGAAATTATCATGCATAAAATGGATTCCAGACTAGAATCGTTCCTCTAAGTCTTCCAAGAAATATAGCCAATTTGCTAAAACAAAATTAAACTACTTCTATACAACTAAAGAAGATTGCGACCACACAAAAGGCTACACCATCCTGGTCTTCTAACCTTCGATTAGAATAGTTTAAATTAAAAAAATGATGCCAAAGTAGACTAGGAACCATCTTGATAAATTGTAAAGAAAGTCAAAAGTAATTCGCGACAAAAGGTCACACCAATGCACAAGGTTAAGGATAATATCACTATGTATTTTAGATATGGAGATATTTGCCCCAGTCCATAGAAGAGTTTAGTAAAATATAACATTCTTAGACGATAGAGATAAGATGCATTATAATGAGATGAAAAAAAGATGTGAGGAGGAAAGAGGAATCTCGAAACGTTAACCATCACGCCATATTGCCACGAGCGCCTTTGCGCCACAGGGCAGATGCGAATTTCAAGGCAAGGCATTTTCCCACATCAGATTCTGTATTTAGATTGCCGACGAAGCAGTTGTATTTGCTATAATAATCGCCTTAAACGAAATAGATTGAATAAACTTAATAAATAAATGATGTAATGGTAGTCTCAAAAATCTACTTATAAACGAAAAATTATTACATTTGCTCCTATGTTCTAAAAATATAAGCTAGAATAACATTGTACGATAGTATAAAGAGGTATTTTCACCAAATTTAAACTGGAGTAAAAACCAGGATATCGAAGTGACTGCAGACACTGTTCATATTATAGCCATCATTCAAGTTATTTCTAACCTTCATACGTGGACCGAGAGCCTTGCTAAGATCCTCAGCGACATGCGCGGCTACATCCAAGCCCACCTCGTCAGCCAGCGTGGCCAAGCCTACAGGCCAACCAAATTGACGCGAAATATCATCTAAGTTAGATGGAGACAAACCCTCTTGGAGAATCTGAATAGCCTCGGCTAGAACCGGTGCAAGGATTCGAGTGGTGTAAAAGCCGGGGCCGTCACGAACTACAATTAACACCTTGCCCTGACGAAGGCCGAGGTCAATTGCAGTGGCTGGACAGAAAGATTGAAAAATTAATTATCGTGGTATACAATTTAATACTAACATATATAAAAGGTAAAAATATTTATTCTAATAAACGTTGTTTCTCAAGAAAACTAAATCTATGCATGCAAAGAGAAATTTGGGTCACTTACAGGAGTGCTTACAGCAAATTAAAGAAGACTACATATGATATGGTGGTAATTTCAGATAAGCATGTATAAAAGAAGAAGCCGAAAGATAAAGATCACTCATAAAATAAAATGCTTGAAGAAATTCAAGAGCAAACATTAAGTAATGGAAAAAAATTCACAAAAAGCAACTGATAAATATTACAAACTATAAGCAAGTAAATAGATAAAGTCTACGTGTTTTAATCACTCAGGCACCTGGAACTCTTTAGATTATTCGCGTTTATACTGCTTGTCCATTAATTATTCTATATTAATGTAAAAAAAATTCTAACAGCTTCTAAAAGACCTGTCGGTTGCTATATTATCAAGTCCCAAATATATGAGGGATTGCAAAGTTGTGAATAGTTCAGTACAAGTCCAAAATTTGCATAATAATTTCCAGAGCCAAACCATGTAAATAGTACATTCGAAATGTTTCACAGGCATCGTAGTAGACATCATCAGTTAGTCTTTCAATTCTCAGACGTCGTGCCATCATACCTGCTGCTTGCCTTGTCTCCCTCTCTTTCGAGTGGCTGATTCAAATCTAGCCTCATGGGCCCGTATATCCATTTCTTATCTTTCTGGTTAATGAATTTCACTCAGGTGCTATTTCTCAAGCATTCACTAGTATGTACAATGACGCCTCATCTTCAGATCGCATAGCCTCTAATCCCCACACTTGTGGATAACAGACATTACCCTTACGCATCTCTTTGATTAAACCCGTGCAAACTATGCACTTCTATCTTTGGTCACTTGCTATTTCTCGAGTGGCTTTTTGATCAATTTAGCAATTTAAAAAAATTCCTGTGACATTTATGTCTATCCGTCTCCCTAACCAGGTAACCCTAACGCCCCCAAAGCTGTAGTTATTTCATCGGACAGAGCTCACTCATTGAAAACGTCTTCCCCTTATTTCCTAAACTTCTTCACTTCTTCTTTGCGATCCATTTTCCTAGGGCTCACAGCAGATCCTTGATCCAGGCGTCTCCTTTTTGTTCGCCTTGTTGCATCCTTGTTTTCTCCTAGTTTGATTAGACAATAGGCAAAGTTATTACTAACTGTGCCTTGTTCTACCCTCCTGTTCATTACATTTGTTCCCCAAGGATGTCAATGGCCTCGCTAATCTTCCGTTTATTCTTGCTTCCAAAAATGAGGCCCTTCTTTTTGTTGCTTTCCAATTGATCGATTTCCTGTCTAGTCTGTGCGATGTGTTCCGTTATATCTGATCTTGCAGTGTCCATTTTTCTGCAATATTTGATGTTCATTAATTCGTATGTTGATTTTTATCCCTGGCTCGCCTATATATATTTCTGTTCGCAGGCGCCGCATGTTATACAGTAAACTCCCGAGCAATCCCCTTTGTCTAACCCCTGATGTTGCGTCGGTAGAGTTTTGAATATTTCTGCTTCACCGGCAATCCCAACACAAAAG